GGCAGCTGCCACGCCGCAGAGCCACGCAACGGCGCGGGAGCCAGCCCTCACCTCCTTGCAGGACTGGATGGCAATGTACTCGGCAAAGATCTTCTTGGCCTTGGAGACCATCTTAGACTGGGATTTGATCTTCTTGAACTCCTCGCAGGCCAGCCAGAACTCCAGGTTCTCCTCGCTGAACTCGGTGCGCAGGAAGGCCCTGAAGGCAGCGAGCCCGTCTGCGGGGACAGACACACGTCTCTACTCCAGGCTCGCAGGCGGGGAACAGCCCCGAGAGACCCTCAGCCCAGCAACCTTGCAAAGCTGCAACCTAAACTACCTCGCATTGTCCCCTAAGAAGCCCTCGTGAGCCTTCGTGCAAAGCAGGCAGCAATGGCATTGCCAGCCGAAGCACGGCAACGCAAGCCATCCATGTGCTGAATCCGCAGTCCTCAGCCCAGCTGCATGCATGGAGAGCCGGGAGAGGGAAGCTGGGATTGGAGCGGGGGCAGCAACGGGGAGAGGACCCCCTGGCTGTCCCTGTGGGGGCCGGGCGTGGGACAAGACCCCAATGCGGGGTGCGCCAGCTGTGATACGCGAGAAGGGGAATGGTCTAAAGCAGCTGCTGCTTCACACACCCGCCGCACAGCTCCGAATCGGGCACAGACACGAGTCGCTGCCTTTTCCTCCCCAAGCTGGAGGGGGGGCTGCAGCCCCAAGCCACGGCTCTCCTGTGACGCCCCCCGGGTCCAGGCGGGAGCAGAAGGGGTGCAGGCAAGGGGCAGCCTCTTTCCTGTTTGTCTACCCCCAAACACCAGAAGGGATTAACATAGGAAATCCCAGCTTTAGCCATGCACGTGTCTGGATACTCCCCCGGCAGCAAACAGAGCCAGAAGAGATGGGCAAACACTTACATTTGTGCAGCAGCAGCTTCTCCAGGGAGTCTCCCCACTTGAGAGCTTCCTCGGGAGTGGGCCTGCGGGAGGAGGACAGCGCGTTAGCAGAGTGAAGCTGTAAAAGCCACGTTCGCCGCCGGCCACGACACAGCACGAGCAAAAATATTTCCAGCCGATAAAGCACCACCGTGTGCCCAGCGGGGCCGGCCCACGCTCCCACAGCGGCACACCCCGCGGGCAGAGCCAGGCATTGCACCAGGCAGCGCCGTGGCGGCTCCGCTGGAAAGAAACCTCTGCCTTTAGATTGGCAGGAGGAAATTCCGATACAGAGAGGGCTGTGCGGGCACCCGTGTCACTTGGGGTGTCTGAGCAAGAACTGGCCAAGCTCTGGGCAATGCCCGGGAGGCTGCGGGACGGCGGGGATTTCA